GCTGCGATGATGGGCTCAAGTATAGCAGGGATTGTGGGGCTGGCGCGGGATCGGGCAGTGTTTCGTTCTGCTGTGCATGGGGTCGCTATGAGTCAGAAACGACTCAACGGCACTTAACAACAAAAACAACAACAGGTTTCAAAAACAACTTCGGAGAGAGGGGGTGGGAAAAAAAAGCCTATTTGGCCACAGCAATCCAAAGTCATACAAATTATGATTTCCATTCTAACCAAAAGTCCTCAGAAACCCATTTAGCACATGAACATTCTTCATCACGTCCTTGGGTTGGTGAAAAGAAACACCATTTTCAGTCTGTATAAAACGTAGAAGCAAACACACACATAACTGGAATGAATTTGTCGATAATGTCAAAGTGGACCAGGTGAGAAGCATTGCATTGGCTGGACTTTTGAGTTGTAGGACAGATGGGTAAGTCCCGAAGTAAAATGTCTGGGGGGCATCACGGTTGGCACCGGTGAGAAGCGTTACATTTCTCAGAACACTTAAAAGCAGGATTCTCTACTGGCTGCTATGACATTTCCCTAGGCTGAAGCCGATGGGTGATTCTAATCTAAGATTTCACAACCAGCTTTTAGAGCCCGCACACAGGTCTGTGAGTCAGACAGTGCCTCAAACAGGTCTGATGAAGATAATTGGGTAATTATGGTAAATGCCAAAGTAATATAATTAATCTTAACCATTTCGTCAGAATGAAAGTATCTTAAAAACAACAAAGCAACATGTATAAGCACACACAGGATTTTATAAAAACTTGCAAACAAAACCTATTGCTGTTGACTTAATTCTGACCCATAGCGCCCCTAGAGGACAGAATGGAACTGCCCCACAGGGTTTCCCAGGCTGTCAATCTTCACAGAAGCAAAGCCCAAACCATACCCCACCCTGGAGTCGATTCTGACCCACAGAGCCCCTAGAGGACAGAGTGGAACTGCCCCACAGGGTTTCTAAGGCTGTCAAACTTTATGGGAACAGACTGGCTCATTTTTCTCACGAGGAGTGGGCTGCTGGTTTCTAACCGCTGACCTTCTGGTTAGCAGTCGAATGCTTTAGTCACTGCACTACCAGAGCTCCTTCTCCACCCCACAGCCCAGGCTTAGCCAGCTTTGTTTCCTCCAAGCCTCCTCACAAAAGAAAAGTCCATAACTGGACTCGCCACAGTGTTGAACACATCACTAAATCTTAGCTGTCAGTATTTCTACAACTATATTTTCTTAAAAAAAAAAACAAAAAGACAAATAGATGGTCTGAAAACTGGAAGAAAAAAAAATCCTCCATTTTCACCTAATGCTGGTGTTTACTTATGACCTGGTGTTTGGCACCTAACCGATCACTAAGTGAGGAGTGGGTGTGGTCATCAAAGGTGTTTTTGAAGATGGACACTTACTTTGAGGTTGGACAAGCAGTTGTTGAGGAAAACATGCCACCTGTTTAGAAACAGCTGCTTTTGACTGACACAGAGCAGGCAGGTCACCAGGGGGTACAGGGCCTGAGGAGAAAGGAGATGAGGTCAGAGGAAAATTAATTATAAACAGCTTACTTTGATTTTAAGGGTTTTTTTT